TTATTATTATTATTATTACCATTGTATGCTTAACAGCATTCATTATACAAAGTACGATTTAACACGACATAGAACAAATTACAACAAGAGAATTACAAATTTGGCAACTCTCACCAAAGCTATCGGGGTTATGTAATAAATTTTAGTGACTTTACCCACACTCATGTATTTGAGTATGAAACATAAAGATAGCGTTTCAGTGTGTCAACATTGACAAACAAAAAACGTGCAAGTGAAAATGAAATATAGAAACCGAATTTTTCTCAACAATTTCGAAACTCTTTGCGCACCTTAGTTTACAACAGTTTTTAACGTAAAAGCTACTTCTTCGCGCTACTTTCTCACTGAAATCGACCTGAGAGGGCTAATTCTTTTTATCTTCATCAAAAAATGTCGAAGCGCTTCCATGAACTTCGCTGAGCGGGCACTATCATCGTCTGATTGCACGCCCATGTGCATTCTGTCACGCAAGACCGTACCTCGTGATTAGTTTTGGCCAATGACGACAGAGGGAAATTTAAAGTTATCAAAATGTTAATTGGGGGGGGGGGGGAGTCTTCCTTAACTACCTATTTGTCACGAATTTGTTGCTAAGGAAGGTTTCTAACTTTCATATTTTGAAAACCAGACCTCCTAAAGATAAAGAGGCCTGCAAAAGTTTCAAATGATGGCCATATTTGACCAGTCACGTGGCCAGAATAGAAAAAATCCAAAAAACCTAGGGAATGTTTACCAGGAGAGAGGGTCACCCAAGAAGCGGGTTACCCCAGCGAGCTGGTTACTCTAGCACTCACACATTTCCTCTATTTCTTCGTCATGTTTACAAGGCAGCTAGGGTTATCCGGGTAGGCGGGTTACCCTATCTGCGTGCTAGGGCTACCCTGGCAGGCGGGTTAACTTTTTCACTTGTAAACACTCCAGGTAGGGTTAACCCGCCCACCCGGGTTAACTTTCTACTTGTTTCCAGACCCTTTGAATGTAACCGCGCATTAAGTTGTCCCCGGGTTGCAGGGTTACCCTACCTGTGAAATTTTGCGTGTAAACCCGGGCTATCTTTTGCCCTCCAGCTTAGGGTAACCCCTTCCTTGTAAAAGGGCCTTAAAAGGTATCTAAACCCGAAAATTTAAATTAGTTTCAATAGATTAAGAACAACCATGTGCTTAATGCAACGTATGAGTTTTATGAAATTCGCATTATCATAAAAGTTATATATAAGTTATGAAACACTCATTTTACCTGTAAACAGTAAATTCCATACGTGCGATTATAAAGAACGGCCAAGTTATGTCTTAATCATAAGAAAAATCGGAACTCTAATCCCTTCTTTATCCAAGTTTTAACGATTTAAAATTCTAATGCGCGGATGGGACTGGCATTAGTTTTTTTTTTTTTTATGGCACTAGTTACGCAAGCGAAATCTCACATATTTTTTTAAAACAAACGTTTTTGCTCATATAAGATTCACCATTTAGCTCTGCAAAACGCTCCCAAATAGCTTTCCCGGCTAAATATTGCCTTTAGCAATCCCGTTGCAACTGTAATATTATTAAGGGGAACCCCATTAATTATCCTTGCTCAAGACATCAACATACTAGTTTTGATCAATCCACAATTGTTAAATGGCCCCCTTCAAAAAAGAGTGATGGCCTGGCGCTCCTTTCTCGAAAGCCCCGGAAACATTTCGGGCCCGTAAAGCCATTATTAGCTCATCTGTATCTAAAAACGGAGAAGTGTATGCGCCTGAAACTTCTTGTATGAAGGGAACCTGTGTTCATATTAAGAATACGTGAATAAAACAGCTCTGTAATCATCAGGTTCGAGATTTTGCTATGGCTTTCCGGGTGCGAAAACTTTTCGGGACCTTCGAGAAACGGACCATGGGTATTGGTGATCTACTGTTGATTGATTGAAGCTTAGGGGGCTGTCTCTGTAAAAACCAACCACTGATTTTCGAAAATTCGATTTCTCTCATAAGCTGGGATTTCAAAGCCCTTACCTAGTCAATCACTAAAATGATTTTTATTTGATTAAAAATTCTATCTGAACTTTTTTGGGACTGATTGAAGTTCGGTCCGCTCCGCACATGTTGCGTGCCTGCCGAAACTGGAAAAATAGCACATATTGCCGGCGCTCTAAAAAAAATTAATATTCGCTCCAAAGTCCCAATTCTTTTTTTCGACTATAGATATATCATAGCTGTTTGTTTAGCCATGTTGCAATTACAATTCAATATTGTTCCTTCAACGGTTAAAAGAACATTTTCTACCCGTTAAATCCAGTTTTGAACCAAACACGAAAATAGCTCTACTTTGAAGGCACGTTTTTAAAAAACTGTGGCACCTGTTTGAAACTGCTGAACTACATGAATAGAAAGCATAGATGGCCCTTAATTTAAAACAATAATAAAATTTGTCTGCCCACTAGGTTTTCAAAACTAACGACCGCTTAAAGTTCTGGATATTTTGAAAATATTCCAGTGAGTAAGTAACATACTCGCCTTCGTGAAGTGCTCCGATAAATTCACGTAAATCTCTTACCCTGGCTTCAAGATTAAAGTTTTGGTCCTTTGTAGCGATCCTTGAAACCTAGGTAACATTAAAACTGCCAGCTTTTCCTTCCAGCGGTAGGTTTGTATCCAAGCGTAATAGAAGGAAACACGTGTATTCATGCTTCCTTCTTGCTGAAACACCGTGAACCTCGACTAGCCACGGTAAACTATCCCTACCCATAATACCAATCGACATTGTCCGTACGCTTTTTGCGCTGTTTTGGGACAGCCTTTGTGGAAACAGCTTCTTGAACGGAACAACAATAGTATTTTGAGAGGGAACTCTGCAATATTCGAGTGATTTCAGGGTCTAGAGAAAGAACCAGTTAAAGAACCAGCTAGAGACTTGCGAACATGCCGGAAGCTAATAAAAGAACATGTATCAGTAGCAATTATTCCCGTTCTTTAATATACAACAACAACAACAGCTGACAAGAGCATTTATGTATCGCCTGAAGCCCGGCCCGAAATGTGAGTCATCTGTCGCCATCATCTCCCGCCCTCAGTCTCATTTCAGGCTTCTTGAGGCCTAAAAAATGTACAGACGCACAAAGTTTCCAGTCTATTATCCTCACTCACTTTTAATTTCAGCCAAACTGGTTGGGTTTTTTCGCTCGCAACTTTGCAAATGTTGCGGTGCAATGTACTGATTACCAATTTCCTGGGGATAGTTGCAACTTAAGGGCTTACAATAAATTAAACTTGCCCGAGCAAGTTGTTAAGCTTCATTCATGGGGTTTTATGTCTTTGAGGTTTATGTTCCGTGTTTTCAGTTTTCGTGAAGAATGCTTGTTTGTCAAAAATGTAGACACTAATTGCTCTCTGGTCGACTGCAAGGAGTCACAAGAGGTCGAGTTAACATTGCTAAGTTGAGAAAAGGGCCTCAAAATTAATTAGTAAGTCGCAACTTACAGAGTGTAATTAAACTTAAGCTTACTTGGGGGCACAGTTTGGCGAGTGTAGGTTTTTGTCGAGGGTCGAGGGTCGAGGGTAACATATCGAGGGTCGAGGGTCGAGGGTTGAGGGTCGAGGGTCGAGAGTAATATTTTTAAAAAAGTTAATATTAAAAATACTAGTAATATTAAATAATGTTTTTTGTAAAATGGGGTTGACTAGCCTACACGACTTCTACGGTTCATAACATTTGAACATTTGCCGTTCCCTGTTCGTTCACTCGACCTTTCTTGTCGCTTCACTCGTGTTCATGAAGGGCACTTCATGTTGTGTAATAAGGAGGAATTTTAAGTGGAGTTGGGCCGTTAGATCGTGCTATGGCAAATTTTTATAGGTCATAGGTCTTTTCTCAAAGTAAAGCTACGGCGTCTCCGAAGGAAATCGTGCGAGAACAAATATGATATCCGTGATAAGGATCTATCTACTGTGCTCGCAAACAGTTCTAATCACAGCCGGGCCCGGCGTCACAATATAGAATGCAAGTAAGCAACATGTTTACGGTAAATTTCATATTTTGTCCCTCAAAAGCAAATCCATGGAGACTTAAAAGCATATCTTGCAATAGAAATGAGCCTAAACAATGCATAAACACATGGCAAATTACAGAGGTGTCAAACTCAACGGGTCGACATGCAGATAACAGCGGAAACCATGCAGACTTATGACCTATAAAAATTTGCCATAGCACGATCTAACGGRTCAACTCCACTTAAAATTCCTCCTTATTACACAACATGAAGTGCCCTTCATGGACACGAGTGAAGCGACAAGAAAGGTCGAGTGCCCGAACAGAGAACGGCAAATGTACAAATGTCACGAACCGTAGAAGTCGTGTAGGCTAGTCAACCCCATTTTACATTTACAAAAACAAGTGTTTTTTGTCAGTGTTTTCGTAGTTTAAACTCGTATATGGCTCATTTGTTATCTTCCGAGAACGAACATAATCTTTGCTTATTTGCCAGGCTTTCAAACAATATAATTCCTGGACTGTCTCCTTCCGAAAACGACCGACATCTTTGTATGCGTGGCGTGCATTCTGCATATTACGGCCCTTAGTACGTTGTCCGGCGTTGTTCACGATAAATTCTAGTCCCCAGTTTCCACTCTCTACGCATAACCCTCCTTTTGGCCATGTAAATATCTTCTATAAATCATATAAATCGTAAAAATTTTTTTCGTGACTCAATAAATAATTTACCCTCGACCCTCGATATGCTACCCTCGGCCCTCGACCCTCGACAAAAACCTACACTCCAGTTTGGCGATCTGATGTCAATCAGGTGCTTAATTATTTCCAACAGTCTTTGGGTTAACAGTCAACCATAGGGCGTTTTTTTTTTTTTGTCTGACTCAGCATTTAATTAAATTTTGTCCTATCCATAACGAAAGATTGTAAAAATGCAAACGAAAATTTTAAGCTCTCTCAGTAAATTTGGATTGAATCGAATTTACAAGTTTCGAATTATGTATAGTAAACTTCAAACCACTGTTTAGAATCGCTGATGAGGTTTTTAGAATTCGCTGATCGGTTTTTCAGTATAAATAAAGCTTTTATTATTATCATTAGAATCATGCAGCCCAACGGAGACTGAGGAGAAAGGACTGAAACTCACTTCCACCACTGAGTGTTCCTCTCTATAATTCCTTTCCGGAATTGTTTGTTTCCCTCCAAACAAAACAAACAAAAGCGCTCAAGTCGATACTGTCTCGAAGAGAACTAATTCCCGCTTTCTCTTTCGCACATTCTCATCAGGATTCAATACTCTGGCGTTTATTGAAGGTCACATATATACTCTGTTTAGGATACACAAGCACAAAGAACTTCAGCATCACAGAAAGAACAAGTTGCCGGAAAATCGTGAATATTATCACCCTCTCCCCCTCCCTCGTCTCCCCCAAGTCTACCTCTCACTTTTGTACAGTTTCTCCGCAAAGCTTAAAATAACTGATGTCTAGCCAGTGTGCGTCACTAGACATCTCAGTTTCCAAATTGCCGGAAAAACAGGAAGCGTTGTTACGCACAGGAGCTTTCCGAGAATACCTAGGCGGATGTTTATACGTAGACGTCCTTTGTAGTTCGTCAAGAGACAAAAGGACGTCTGCGTGGGAAGCTTAATTGTTTTAAGTAGGGAGGGAAATTGTTCTGCGAAACACAAGTTGTTCATCTTGCCTCGTGACTTTCACGCAACCGGGACGGTGTTACAATAACAACGTGTGACATCACGTCATTCTCATCGGTTGGTTAAGGGACTGTCTGTGTGGTAAGAGATTGCGAGACTCTCGAATTAAAGTGACAAAGTGAAAATACGGTTGTCACTGGCTAAGCGACCTGAAAAGCTGCTCGTGAAAACACGGCCAATAAGTTTGAAATTGTCGTTGGTGACAGGAGGGTTGATTAACTTTTCATGTCTTTTGACGTGTTTACTTGACCTCAATATTGCTTTAAAGGCTCTTTTTGTGAATTTAAATTAACACCCTAATAACACAATAAACACCAGCACGTTACAAAATGCAGATCATATTCAAAGAGCGCGTGCAAAGATCATTGCATACAGCCTGTAGCAAATGGTGAGTTATCGAAAAAAATTCTCACAATACATTGTAAAGGCAAGATTATGTTGACCTTCACTAACATGGTTGTCTCGGCAAGTTTGTCTTCCTGTCCACGTGAAATGATACACGCGTAAAGAGAAGGCGTGACCCGGGGCGCGACCGACCGGAACAGTTTATTTCAAAGGCTGGTTCGATTGAAATAAGTGAGTTTTAGCCACTAAGAGATCATCTCAGCAAGTTGCTGTCTTTCTGTGCCACTTCAATCTAGAAATCTTCGTCTCTTCGGCAACAGAAGACAGGTAATTACTATATTGCAGTTTCTCAACTATACGACGGTGATACATGTCCGACTGCTATTAATTATGAAACAATATCAACCGTCTGATTTTGAAGTGCGTGTTAGGTTTTGCAAAAGCTATTGCGGATTTTACATACATGTTCGGAGACAGAGGCGGTGTGGGAAGCGCTAAAGACGAATATTAGCGATTCAACTCCGCAAAAACCCCCGTACGATGGTTCCTCTTGTGATAATAGTTTTGCCCTCCTCAGATCTTTTCATTGTAATCCGTCGCCTAATTATCTTCCATTCATTATGTGCAGTGTGTCTGTGACAGAAGACAAGGGAGTTAGTTCGGCAGTTGCAGTGTAATCCTTTGAACAAATATAATAAAATATCCACACTTGGAAACAGCAGAGAACCTGTGATGACCGATGGTGAGTCGTAAACGCTATATAAATCTCGTATTGACTCGTGTATAGGGCCAAATGACGACAACGAGTCGTGTTATTCATGGTTAATCAAGTTTTGCGAGTATCCTTTTTGGTATTGCTCAAATCAGAATTGGAGGATGTTGTGACAAATAAGTTTATATTTTAGGGTATATGCTGCCCGGGAAAATATAGAATAAACACAACTAAACCGACAAAGCAATCGATCTGCGGTAGCTATGTACGTTTTCTAAGCTGTACAGACGCGTAACCTAAGGGACAGTGGTATTGGCAATGTTAGGCTGACGTAACTAGGGTCTGGCCTGCAAACTACCCCGGGACTCTAGCCTGAAATTGTCGGTTGTTGAGTGCGGTGCTGTTGTGTCTGTCTTTTTTGAAGAGTGTCTTTTTATTATCACTTATCTCTATGAAAGCAGTGCATCCAATTAACGGGTATCGAGTTTTGAGTCTGAAGGTCAAGGGTTTCAAAAACGCAATTCAACACCCCCCCCCCCCCCCC